CATATATATATTTTATTATAATTATATTATTAAACACACACGCATATACGTCCACATATACATATATGTATATATATATATATATATAAATGTGACTCTATTATATATATATATGGTCTTTTACATTAGTCGCGAGTACGGACGTGCACATACGCATGCGCACGTGCGTGCCTATATATCTGCATTACACATTGGCAACATGTGACACACATTATTATGCACAGGACACATGCATCACATACTCACGCGTGCGCGCACACACAATTGAGACAAACATCCATGCATTTTATTATTAATTACGTATACAACTTTGGGGACGCTGGCCATTTTGCATTTTTACAGGGACCTACTCCGCAATCAGACAATCCTGAGCGTTTAATTTTCTTTCAGCCTTTTTCTCTCTTTTTCTCTTTTTCTCTCTCTCTCTCTCTCTCTCTCTCTCTCATTCATTCACTCATTTTCTTATTTTATAAATATTTATCTTTTTTATTTTTCCCCTGTTATTCTTTCTCACTATCATTCTCTTATTCTTGTACTTCGATTCTTAATTCGTACATTTATTTTTCTTTGATCGTTTCAATGTTGCCTGAATTCCTTGATTTTTATTCTAATTTTATTATTTTCGTTCTATCGTCACTTAATCGAGTCACTCAATTTATTCTCGATCCTCCACATACGAAAATTTCGTACGATAGAACGTTCACATCCATAATATTTTTAATATTCTTTAGATAATATTCCGGAATTTTTATGTTTATGATACAAGTCACGACATTTCAACCAAGTAGATCTTTGATCGTGTTTTTAAGCTGTTTTAACGTTAACGTTGCATGTCATATTATTTGTTTGACAAAGATAAACCATTCATCTAGAAAGTGACGTAAGTCTGATTTTGAAATAAATTAAATGAATTTATTTTAACGTCTTATTGAAATTTATATCATTAAAAATGGATTTGCATCGCTTTCAAAATAAATGATTCGCATCTTTGTCAATGTGCGTGGATCCTTCCTCGAAGACTATCAACCTCACTGTATGAGATCATCTGAAGTAGAAATTTATGCAAATATATACATTCTTGTATTTTTATTTATTTACGTCATATTTTTATGTAAATTTGTTTTTTTAATGTGTTATATTTGATATCGATAGCGTCTTCGATGAAGATCATATTGTTTACAATCCTTTGAGGTCATAACATTGAAATAAATTTTTGTTACATTAATTTGAAAGAAAGTTTATTCAATTTTTAAATTACATTATTTGTATAATGTAAGGGTTTAGGTAATCTATAATATTGAATTTTGTAATATCTTCTCGGAAGGTTGAGAACCCATAATGCATATTGATAATCGGTGTTCTTGGATCTCAAGGGATTAACATCGTTCTGTTACACGCATGACTAGTTGACATTCGTTGAATTCATTTGACATTCACAGAAACATAAGTACGTTTGACGCAAAAACTCGGGCACTCCATACTATATAGATTACGTCGTTTCTGCATATTGATTTGTACACGACTATTTCGCACGGTTT